TTTGTCAAACGTTTTGACAAAAAGCTAGGGAATAGCCCAGGGGTTGGCCAATACCCGGCCCCCGGGCAGCGCAAAATTTGCAATGCCCCACCCCCGGGACTGAAAAGGCGGGCAAATGCTTCGCGGTAGCCCAGGGGGACTGGGCGCAGTTGGAATCGACTGATGCATTATAATTTCGAAAAGACTCAAGTTCCTCTAGGATGACCGAGCAGACACAAATTTCATAGCGCCACTTGGAATGAATTTCTAGAGTTCTAAAAGTGCTCTAAATAGCCCGCTTAAAAGTGATTTCAAGTGTATTTAAAGGAAACCGTCGTTGGGGGCCAGGACTGTAAAGCTATTTCACAAGGGAGGAACTACGCGCTCCAGTCCAGACGCACATTATCTTGAGTAAAAACAAGCTAGAGTTTATCACATTCACATACTAAAGAAAATCGCTTAGTTATTTAGATCCTGAGGAACTTTGGAGAAAATGAAAGAGCCTTAAAACCTTATTTAGTCTCTAGTCGTTGTTGTCAATTTTAGCTTCTTTAATTCTCTTGTTATTTTTAGCTGTATTTAGTTGTATTTATTTCCTGTAAACATGACCCGCCTAGATTAGGTTAGCTACCTGCGGGCATGTTATTGTACTTTTCCCTCAAAACACAATAAAATAAAATGTATGTATGTATGTATGTTTAACCGCAATAAAGAGCTTCACGGTTCAAGAGAGGTCACAGAAAATGCTATTCCATGCAAATCATCTTCCCTAGAAACAAAAACCAAAGAAAATCAATAAGCGTGTCATGACCTCTCAGAGTGAAACAAGCGGCTAGCAATATCACATTTTCTCAGTCAGAACATAGAACCTTCTAGAGCATAATCGACTTGCCAGAGAAAAAAACGTATTGGAATAAGCAGCAATTTGGCGTGCGGTAGAAGTCGTTTAGGCCTACCGACTCCTTTTTACACTATGAATACAGTAGAACCTCGATAACGCGAATTCCTCTCTAACTTGAACTAGATTTCCTTTCCCTTGATCCAAATTTTTACTGAATCTACCGCCATAGCACGAATTTCCCGCTAACTCGAACTGTTTTTCGTTTCCCTTCAGAGTTCGAGTTACAGGGGTTTTACTGTAATTTTGAGCGAAATTTGACAATAGCAGCTTAACTGAAACGGTGAGTGGTCTTTTAAAAAGACCACATCGGTTCCTGAAAATAGAGAAGGTTAATGAAAGCGATTGCAGAAATAGCGTACATCAATTGTGCAAAAAGAAAACACCATACTCGACATTAAAGTCAAGCTGAACTTACCGTCACTCATCCCTGCACTCATACATCGAGCGTGATAACGTGCTTCGATTTAATACCGGTTACAACAAAAACATCCAAATGGAGTCGATTCGTTTCAGTGAATAAAACAAATCTCAGACACAACTTTTAAATATTAAAAAAATCCAATATTAAAGCCACAAATATTTCAGAAACAACCACTCTGACAGAATTATGGTAGTTTGTCTCGAATGACGCGAATGAAGCGGGCAGCTTGGGCCACATTGAATGCTCAGGGCCCACCCAACGAGAATATAGTTCAAAACCACTTAAACAAAGCATTGTTAAACGTATTTTAGTATTTAAACAGTAGATATAGGCATATTTTTATCGCCTAAAAATTTTTCATCTGTTCGGATTTCCTAGCTGAAAGTCTAGTAATCCGAAAGTTATAGGGATGAAAACTTACCTTTTCGAAACTTTCAGTCAGAAAAAAGGCTCCCGGAAATTCTAGGTGACCTTTTTAGGGTAAAAATCCGTTTGGGGCAGCACAAACCTATATGGCTTATGTAAGGGAGTACCCCCCTCCTCTAGCGGCTCGAGTCTATTCCTTTCAGATGTGTTTGGGGCTCCAGATGTTAAGTAGGGATGTTAAGTACGGATTTCAATGTTTCTTTCTCATGGCTTAAAGTTAAAACTCTGTTGCTTTTATCACTGGGGAAGTATATAAACGAAAGCTTCGCTTTAAGCCGTGGCTAAATCTATATATTATTTAAGTAATGTAGACTACGTAAGTAAATATAAGATGACAAAACAAACAAAAAACAAAAAAAAATTATGATTGTAATGACTTGGTTTGATTTACAGTCATCTGTCACCCCGTCTTCTTCTTGCAGAATAACCTTGATCGATTTGTTCAAAATTGTCATTGTTTGTTCGAGCAAACAAAGCTGATTCAGGTTGTGAGTTGCAGTCATCCATGTTCTTCTCTTTAAAGTCTACCGGCTCTTTTCAGTTTGTTCACAGAACGTGAAATTAACATAAGTAATGACTTCCCGTACCCCGCAGCACTTAATTTAAATAAATGAGCCCACTCTCTCTCTCTCAGTGATTTTAGTCTACGAAGACACTTGCTGCAACTTGTCAGATTCTCAGTTTCCAACTCAAAGCCTACAATACGTAAGTACCCAGAAAGTAGACCTTTGTCAAAAAATAGCTTTCAGAATAGATGTAGACAGAACTGATGTCCATGAACAAATGCTTACTTTCTATTTTGTTCAAGTTTGCCCACTGAATTTATGTTCGACTTCATAATCATACTGATGTGCTTCCCATTTGAAAAAGCCGAAAGACTTAAACACTCAATTGAAATTTCCAATGCATACGAGTTCTTCAGTGGAAAGCTTAGCGATTACCGAATCTGTTTCATTCAGTGAAACCATATGTTTTGGTCCATCCTAAATCTTTGTTACATTGTACGCTGAGAAATTCAAAGGCCCATTTTGTCTGGTATAATCTGAGTTACCAATTACTCGCTGCGGATATTACCCAATAGAGTTTTGATCTAACTTAAACCTTCGTCTGCTTCGTGTTGCTTTTTAGTCTTCGTAGGTCTTCGAGGAGTAATTTTTCACGTAACCAGACACGCAACTGCGTTAGCTCGAGCTTCCCTAGAGCAACTTTGCTTGGTTTAAAGAAGTTCAAATGTGTAAGCTTCATCTAAGACATCACAGTCTTCAAAGGCAACGTATATCGAAATAACAACAGTCCATGTGCATAAAAAAATTGTAAATTGCTTGTTTACCCACGAAGCACATAGGAGTTGATATCAACTCGTTTAAACGTGTCCGTGCGTTACAGATCGAATTGGAATTTGGAAGTGTTGATTTTGAGGAGAGGGGGAAATCGGAGTACCTGGAGAAAAACCTCTCGGAGCAAAGGAGAGAACCAACAACAAACTCATAGCATCAATACAAAGCCAGAGCCAGGAGGTGGTTAACACAAAAGCTGATTAAAGTAGTCAATTCATTTTGTGTTTATTTCTTCTTCTGATCAGCAACTAAGCTTAAATATGGAGGCATTCCTAATATCTTCGACAAGACTGTTCAAATTCCGTTGGTAGCTCATACCACTTCCTGAGATGGCTTCTCGATAAGGTTCACATGGAAGAGTTTGCTACAAAATTGGTCTCGTAAGATCTGTCAATTGAACTGAACCGTTTCAACTGTACGCTCACCATCGTTTCTTGTAGGTCTACAGATGAAACGTGTGCATTTGGTATAGACATTTCGCGTATGAGAAAGGACAGAATTCATTCTTGCGATCACTGAGTTTGATAAAACGTGACTTTGCTCACCTCAGGCAAGAAGCAACGTGCTTTAGTCGGCTGACCTATTTTTAGCATACTCTTATATCATGCGCACATCAAGACGCCAGAGGGCGATTTGTCCCAGTGAGAACAAAGAAAGGAGCCTATTTTTAAGCTAGGGCGTCTCCACAGGAAGCCCGAGCAAAACAACATTGCGTCTGGCGGTCAGTTATCACGGACATCGGAAAAGTTAATTTCACGTAGCAAGACTGGCATGTCGTTTACGTGACAGTTCACGGCATTTAATTTTTTGCAATCACAAGTCACCGGCAAATAAAAACAGTCGAGCGCATTTCACGGGTAACCCCCTTACGGCTTCTCTTTAAACTGTTTTTTAGTCCGGAAAATTCTCCCCATGTACATATTCGGAGCGTTTCATGATTCTCCCAAATCCACTTTGCTATTTAAGACTCTTTGTCGCTGTACTTGTTTATTATTCTTATTATCATCATCATTATCATTACCATTACCATTACCATTACCATTACCATTATCATTATCATTATCATTATCATTATCATTATCATTATCATTATCATTATCATTATCATTATCATTATCATTATCATTATCATTATTATTATTATTATTATTATTATTATCATTATTTACTACATGATGCGTTCAGTCGTTTACATGAAATTTACACTCATTTTATTTACATGTTATGAATACGGTTCTTTCAATAAATTTAAATGAAATTTACACTCAGAAAGCTGTAAATTTCTCAAAAAAAAATGTCCATGTTATTTACATGTTCAGTAAATCTTAAGTCTAACAAAGGATCCCTGCAATTTATAATTTACAATAAATTTGCAGAATCCAGATAATATGTGAATATAATGTAAATCTCAAAAGTAGATGAGTTTGATCGTCCGGGAGAACGTAGTCCTGAATAACATCACGGTTTAACTGACAGACGACCAACAACATCGCGACGTAATTGACCAATCAGATCAATAACCAGAGTGTAATACCATCAACTGATGTGATACAACTCACTTTGACTCTGAAGATGACTACCTCACAGGTTGTCGAAACGTAACAACAGTCCTATTCAGGACTACGTTCACCCGGACGATCAAATTCAACCTACTTTTGAAATGACTCTTGGGTTCAAACCTTTCGCAATAATGTAAATCTACTTTACAAAACAAGAACATGTAAAAGTAAAAACAACAACAACAAAGCACGTAAATAATTTTTTTTCTAATGGGAAAAGGAAGGAACAGAGACACTACGGGATTAAAGATATGCCATTTCCGCTTAGCTTCATCTGGAGCTTCACATTTTTTGTCCGTCTCCAATCTCCATGGCATGATCACTAGATTTACTTTTCCATAATTTGATGTCGTTAGGTCAAACTATCTTCAGTGAAAATGGCGAAAATAGGAGTAGCATTTTCTGGTGGAGGAATTCGGTCAGCGGCTTTCTGTTCAGGCGTCCTGCGGAGACTGCTTCAAAAGAACGTGGAGATAGACTACTTAAGCTGCGTGTCAGGAGGCGGTTTCACGGGATCTGCTTACATGGATTGGAAATACAGACATGATAAAAAGGATGACAAGAAATGGCATCAGGAATTTTTCAACCACCTGAGGCAAGAAGCAGGGTTAATCTGTCATTGGCAAAGGCCATGTAAGGCGATCCTGGAATTCATGGCCTTTCTTGCAGTTGTTGTCTATGTGTCTGTTATTGTACCTGTGCTTATCTTGGCTTCTATGGCGTTTCCTTTGGCTTATGTCATAGACTTCTTATTTGGTAGGATTCTCAGAGGTGCTGATCTGTCATGTCCCCAAGAAGTACAACGAAACCCAAAGATGACTTTGCAACAGTGCAGGGAAGAGCGAAGGTCGCCAAACGCAATTCATGATCAATTTTTACTGTTCATTACACCCATATTTGTTGCTTTGGTATCTAATGTTCTTAAAAGGTGTATTCCAAAGTCGAAGGGACTTTTCAAATTTGTTTCTATTTTTTGTGTAATCTTCTTCGCACTGGTCTTTTTTCCCTGGTTCATACAGGATTTTCTTCGTGTTCTTCCAAATTGGATGAAAATCCTTCTTATTTTCTCACTGTTTTTCGTGTGGATTTCTTTCCCTCTCAACCGCTCAATCGCCACACTAATGCTTGGTGTATACGTTATTTCGTTTGTTGTTTTTTGGCGAGTCTACAAGGAGGACGCGTTAGGTGTTAAATATGACAAAAAGAGTTTTGATTTGCTCCTGGAAATATCAGTACTTTTAAACTGGATTGGTCCTCTGATGGTTACCATTCAACAACGCCTAGGACACCTATATGCAAGGTAAGATTCCCCGGCAAAAGACAATTAATTAGCAATTAATGAATGAGGCTGAGTATCTTATGAAGAATTATGGAGATCGAGGCGGGTGTTATCCGTCGAGGTCGTAGGCCGAGGCAGATAACACCCGCCGAGATCTCCATAATTCTTCATATGATACGAAAGACATGCCATGTTTTTAGCCATAATTTCGCCTAGTTCTTACCCTTGAAACGAGTGCAATGTCCGTTTTCACAACCAAAACAACTGAACCTCGTCCTCAGGTCTTCTCGGTTAAAGGTGCCTTAACCTAGAAGAACGCTGCATCTTTGACGTCATTTCCTCGGTAAACACAAAATTCTTCCAAATTTGGTCATCAGTAACTGGTTATGGTGAATTATGCCTGTGCTTTTAGCCAATTAGAATCGGGGAAATATTTTAAAAGAATAATAATTGAACTTATTTTGAGGACCTGCTCAGTCAGTCGTCATGAAACTATCACATAACTTAACTGAATTTTCTAAGCTTTACTAAGAGTAATTAAGACTTGGATTAGTAAGTAAGTAAGTAATCTTATTTAATCAGGGTAGCCCGTTCAGCAACGAGGCTGGTATCCATAGCGGCCCCGAGAAATAAAAAAGTATACTATTTAAAAATTCCTAAGGTATATACATGATTAAAATAAATAACAAAACTGTAAAAAAATCTAGCAAGGTCAATATTAAAAGTGTGTGCTAAGTGATAACAACTTAAAATTATGAGGTGAAATACTTGGTCAGCATATTTTTAAAACTATTTACAGACGTGGCACTTTTAGCATAATTGAGTGAATAACTGAAATAAACAGCCCCTGCATACTTAACAGTTCTTTTGCCCGTGTTACGTTTAGGCTTTGGTGGGTGCAGGTCGTTGCTTCTCCTAGTTGCATGATCGTGCAAATCCGCATTCCTTGTAAAATATTACGTAAAATACTTGGGTACTAGATTATTTAAACACTTAAAAACTAGAGTGCATTTATAAAGGATTAAATTAACTGCAAAAACCGTGGACGAAGATCCTGCTAGTTGTAAACGTTGGATCTCTGTTGCATTTATGCATTTGTCTTCTGGAAGCTAGATTTAACCAGTTTAGTACATAGAAAGTGTCATTTGAGGTGGTGTAACTCTTTGCAACACCCCTCTGAGGCTTCCCCCACGCAACGTCAACACCAATCCCATTTAAATCCCAGAACATCCTGGGTTCAAATTTACTCCAACCAAAAGAAGATTAAGTGCATCTCACATACAAAATATTAAAGCAAGAGTTGAAACCCGCCCTCCCAAGCTACACAATTTACTCCGAGTCTCTTCCCCCTTCCATCCCTGACATTTTATGGGCCTCCCCCCCTCCCCCGAGCTTCGCGAGTTTCTGCGATAAACGTATTTCTAGTTAGGTGAAATCGTGCGTGTTCTGTCCCCGTAGGTCTGCGCCATTGTTAAGACACTAACCTTGATTGTTCAAACAGTATCATATCATGCAATTAGATGGACATACAGTCACCTCACTCTTAACAGTGGTGTCTATCAAGAACGGACGCCTCCTTAAACGGAAACTATAAGAACATATGTTAGAACTGGCCCCTGCCCGGTTCTTTAATTTAGTCATTTTCTTTGACCCTCTCTAAGCCAGACACTTAGCTATAGTGGTGGTTAAAATAGGCTGTGTTGACAGTATATTTTAATTAGCAAAACGTCAACAGTGAGTCACCTTGGGCTCTCAATTTCCCTGTGTGCTTCAGGCATTTGGTCTTTATGTTTAAGGAATAGTGGGCGGTCCCACAATTAGACTTGAACGGAGAAACTCAGGCAGTGCAGGAAAAGCTAGTGACCTCTGGCACCCTAATCTTTGCCGTACTTCGTAAGAGGAGTTCATGTCATTTTCGCGGTCCATGTTTTCTTCTTGGTAGGTGGGTAATCCAGAAGGCATTTTTCTATCCAAAGACAGTGGGAAAGTGTGGATGCGAGGGAATCAGTTGGCGAAACCTTTTCCTTTACTGTCCAACCTGCTGTGAGGAGCCACAGGGTAAAATAACAAATATAAGACCTACCAAAGCTTTAACTTTAGATGATTTAGATGAGATTACACCAACGTACATTGGATGCATAACGAGTAACCACTGGAGACGCACCTCTTCCCCCAAAGAGCCTCACTATGAAGTCTTTACAATGAGTTCGGAGAGTATTGAGCGTCTTGACCGCCCTCAGAGCGAGGAAGAACTTCTTGGAAAACTGATGCCTGTCGATGTGTATCTTTCTGATGTGGCAGCCACATCCGCGTCGGCCCTCAACTATCACATGGGAAGCATGCAGGGCGATGAAGAACCGTTCAAAGATTTTAAAGTACTGCTTGGGTTGTCACTTGGTACATCAATCGTTTCTGATGAAAAACACGAGAAAAAGAGGCCATTCTGTGTTCAGGTGAGGAATCTCATGTAACAACACATTCAACTATTTTTATCAAGGACAGAAACCAATCACCCGAAAGCGTCCATCTCTTACTAAAGGTGGGCGGTAGATCTTGTTAGGTTCTCGGGGTATTCATAAATTTATCTATCACACCAAACAATTCTCAATTTATATAATTATGCTAGATTAAACATCCCTGTATATCCTGAGTTTGTCGAGGAACAGGCAAATGAAGAAGGGAACTTAACATCGATAAAGGTATATGAGCATACTTTAGCTTGTTTTTAAACTGTGAAATAGTTTGAATAAATAATAAAACAATTATTGGATAAGGCTCTTGTGTGATCTGAAGAATTATGCAGAGAACATACTCAGCCTCATCCAGTAATTGCTTATTATTTTCATCAATATTCGACTGTAACATGACAAGGCATTAGTTTTTTTTTTTTCTAGTTAATCCATAGCCTGTCCCAGGCTCCGAGATAGTTGGGTCCGTGAAATTGAGAAAGCGCGGACGCTAAAAATAAAACAGTAGAGAGATTAGGGAGAGGAAGGGAGACCCTTTTGCCCAGATCACGTGCCTTACAGTTACGCGTCATCCCTACTATCTGGTAGCCTGGAACAGGCTATTTCAACCCAAAAAACCGGCCTGAAAACTAGCTTATATTCATTAATACATTTTTAGCCAACACACCAAGGATTTCGCGTTTACATTATTTCTTTCTTTACAGATTCTGCCTTTCTTGGTGGAGATGCTCCGTGGACTTCCGTTGATAGTTTTGTTTGCAGCTTACCTATATACTGGCAATGGCCTTTATATTTTAGTGGGTTTTCTCGTATCATTTTCCTCTGGGATCCTTTTTTCACTAATGGCGCTAGTACCTACAGGGAGTAAGCATCGTGGGAGAATGGAGCGAATCGCCAGGTAAGAATGATTTTTTCTGGTGTGTGCCTTAAATCGTCATATTTGCCTTTTTTAAAGCAGGAAACAAATTTTTCAAAAATTTTTTGCCTGTAAGAAAACCCAGAGCTATATATTAGTAATCCACACTCAAGTGATTCGCTTTGCAAGGGCAAAAACGTCTTCAAGGGAGATTAAGAGCAAGACGTGTAGCAGTTTTTAAGGCTGTATCTTGTAATCTACAGTTTTTCAGGCGAGCGAAGGCAAGAGCGAAGCAAGCGAGAAGCTCGAGACACGTGCGACGTCGCGCATATCTCTCGTGCTCTACGTCCTCTTCGCGTTTGCCTCCGCTCGCCTGAAAAACGCAATAAAAACAAACGTCTGTTATGCAGGCCATGTGTAGAATAGTGTTTCAACAAGTGTTGCGTTGTTCAACACTGGTGGTCACTAAAGTTGAGAGATGTTCAACTTTCATAGCCTGCGTTGCAGCCGTCCCATTTTTCGTCTAGGCTAAGTTTTGAGTAAAAGCCCTTGAATGCAGAGGTCCACTCAACGCGTAAATAAAACCGACTGGTTTCTCATTGCCGGATCTCCAATGTAGAGATGCTAGAGCTAGACGTCACTTGAAGTGAAAATTAAAACTTAACTAAATACAAGGCTGAATACGGCAAAGTGCTGATTTATTTGGGGTCAATATTTCAGCTCACAAAATTAGCCTTCCTCAGGGCCAGAGCTACACTGAAAGAAAATTCTGTGAAAGAAAATTTGTTCTCTTCAAGGATGGGTGAAACTAAACGCACGTTTCGTGAACGCTTGAATTAACCCTATTCGGAGCGGGGGGGGTACTTTTGATTCTCCCCTCGCTAAAAAGTTGAATAACTTCAAAACCAATAAATTCAGTGATGTGACTCATAATGACGTCATATTACGTCATTGTGTCAATCAGGTTATACAAAGAAATTGGAAATGATGAGTACATTTCTGTGTGTAATTTTGGCGATCGTAGGATGAGCTGTTTTGAAGTTATAGAGGGGGAGCCTCCATGGGTCCCCCTGTCACAGGAAGCAAAAAACCCGGTCTCAGTAGGTTTAAAGAACATAGGCAACGAACAATCCACTCCACGCTAAAGCCACTCCTAGCCTCAGCCACAAGTTGCTCCAAATTTTCTTAAAAGTTGCCAGAAGTTGCTCGAGACAAATGAATAGAGGCAAAATTCTTTCACCAGATGGTTTAACCGCAAGGACGAACTTTGAACCGTGCCTTATCAATCACTTTATTGTATGATTATTTACTTATCTATAATCATGCTATCTATTGTTCTCATTTTTAGTTATTCGTTAACCACTTAAGTAAATTTAAATTCAAATCTTAGGAGCCGTTGTAGAATTTTTTTTTTCAGTGTACCTCTGGCCCTGAGGAAGGCTAACTTTGTTAGCCGAATATCAGCCTTAAATAAATCAGCCCTTTGCGGTACTGCCAGCCTTGCATTCAGTTTTGTTTTATGTTTAGAGTGTTTACGACGCAGGCTAAATTTTCGTTGATGACGACCGGATCGGAATTACTTCCGGTTGTCGCTTTGCAGAGAGATGACAATCGGGCATACGTCTGCATTCGCAGATCAAAGGCCAAAGGAATGAATGACTCCAACAATAAGTGAACTAACTATTATCTAACTGCAACGTTTTGACAGATGGTTTGCTATCAACATCTCTATTGTCACTTACGTGCGCAACGTGCTACAAGTTACCAACCAAGGTCCCAATCCTCCAGCGGTTATATATCTGAGTGACGGCGGCCATATTGAAAACCTTGGTATTCTGCCTTTGCTAAAGAAGAGACTGAAGAAAATTGTATCCATAGATGGAGGACAGACCATCCTAGACGAAGATTATGGGAGTATTCTTTTAGAAGCTTTAAATATGGCGAGAAAGAAGCTGGACTGTTCATTTTCGGGAATGGATGGACGAGATATTGCTGAAGACATTCGAGAGAAGTTTGTGGAGAGACGTCCTGGATCACAGCCATCTAGCTATAGGTTCGTAATAAAACTGATAGCTGAATGCTTACATTAGCGGGATATAGTTGGAGAGGTTGACTCAATGTACCTTTAATGAAACCAAGTAAACAAGCCAAGAGAAGCGAATGTCTGCCGCGCGCTTTGTCACAACACAGCATTTATCTTCGTTACATACGACTCACAGATAACGCGCGGCAAACAAATCGGCAATAGAAAAAAACTTTTTGGAAAAATAAGGTACACACTGAGTGAAACAAACTATTAAGTTATATAATCAGTCCCCACCCTCTCTCAACATCTTCATACCCCCTTCTCTATATGAAATGACCTTTTGGCCTTATTCATGTTCTCTCCATACAAATATTATAAAAAAGCGAATCACCACAACTTCATTTCAACACACTGAAACTATACTATCCCTTTATAACCAAATTAGCACTTCCACAACTACCTCACTGCAACACCTAAAATCACAAAACAATTTTTTTTTTGTTATATATACTTCATTTAACATTCTACGAGAAACAAGTTTCATTGATTAACAAACTATAGTCATTATCTTTACCAATTAATGTCCAATATACGTTCACGCCTTGCCCTTCATTCATCTGCACCGCCTAGATATACAACGCTACTGCATTACTCACACATCCCTAAGACACATAAAAAAATTCTCACACGCCTAGTATACGACGCCCAAATGTACGCTCCCGTTTTGTATACATTTCGTACCCGTCGATGCACGACCGCGACATAAAACTTCCTTCTTTTTTTGTTTTTTTAATTATTATTCTAAACTTAGATGCGGTCCTTTCAGATTCAACCCCAGAAAATTTCGCCAACATTTGACAAATTAAAGGCAACTGAATATGGTCGACGAAGTTTGACACAGCGCGAATTCACTTTTTAAGTGACGTTTTCGATATGTTGTCATCCAGAAATTTTGCTACCTTGGTAACGTGACATAACGTCACTTCTCCTATCTATTGAACACATCTCATGAAAACTATTTTCCTGAAAAGTGATTCCTGTCTGCAGAAAGTGCAAGGCTTCACTGAGAGTGATGGATAGTATAATTTAAAGCATCGTTAATGTTACCATCTAATATCTTTTTTTGCCACCCAATTCGCCAGATTTAAGGTGCAATATTACCAGAAAAATAGCAACGGGGAAGGAAAGACCAAGGTTGGAGAAGGTGAAGTTCTCTACATTGTCTCAAGACATCCTAGCAAAGCTGCG